TACTCAATGTGTCCAACACAGATGCAAATTTGGGTACAGCTGCATGAGTGGGCAGCATGACCATATTTAATTCTTTGCAATCCACTGTCACTCCCCATGTGCCATCCGACTTCTGTACTGTCCTTATGGGGACAGTAAGAGATGAGCAAGTCTTTTGATCTCTACTTTTTCTGATTCTAGACATTTCCTCTTGCACTCCAGAAACCTGTACTATTTAGTGTTAGTAATCCAGCACAGATTTGGCAAGCACATAGGCTCACGTTTTGCGTGGCCTCTTAACATCACCCACACAGTCCAGATACAAATACATCTGTCTCTCAGTCTAAGCTTTCTTACTGTCAGCTGGAATGTTGGATCCCATAATATATCTATGCCCACAGTCTATTCCAGGACTGGGACAATAGCGGCCTGGGTCACTTCAGGAGGTTTCCTCCTTTAATTGGGAACTAAAAAATCTTCCAGGTTCAGTGTTCTTACTGGTATTTTTTCCAGTAATTCTCACCTCTGTTTTTAGGGGGAGGATGTTTTGAAGCTTTTGATTTTCCTCCAATAGCTTCCAAAGTGGGAGGAGAACATGATTGGACAGGTGATGAATTTTTGCAAATCAAACCTGAGCTGAGATTAAGTCATTAAAGATCTGTTTCCAAGACATGCTTATGGGTCTTGATTGGGGAGCCCATGGGGCAGGTCTGGTTTTCGTAACAAGAAGGACCTCTGCCCCTTCCAACACTTGGATTTTGCACCTGATCCAAAGGTGCTGTCTCTCATAGATCAGCCACCAATTAGGTGGCTTGTTAAATGATGGCCTCTGAGGCCATTAAGGGATTCAGTACAGACACCCATGTGCCATATTGGTGGGGGAGAAGCTTGTTGTACTAGGAGGTCCTTCATTCCTGCCAAAAAGGTCTGGATTCTTGAGTGCCCTCCTTCACTCCTAGTTCTCTGATGTAATTTTGGAGTTCTTCCATTGAGGTCCATAAGTCAGTATTTGTCAGTATAGCTAGGTTTTAGTCTGCTTGGCTTTCTCTACTCTTAGATTCAAGTAGGATCCAAGGATCCTGCTTACCTAAGTTCTTATTCCCTTCAATTATATGGGTCTTACTTCCAGAGGGGAAAATCCAGTTAGCTCTGTCAAAGATATAATTTTACAACCATTTGACTAACACAGGCCTTTAAAACTTCAGTTTCACCTTTCAATTCTTCCACCAAGGAATGATATACACGGCAAGACAGCCAGCTAGCAGCATCTACCGTGGCAAGGTGGCTGCTGCTACTATTCTTTCCTCAGCTGTCAAAAAGTGTTGTCGCATATATTCAAAAAGCCATTTTTGAAGGGGATTTAATGAAGAGGCCACTGTCCCTTACTGGCTCCCATTCTTCAATAATCTGTATGGCACATAGCCATGGAGAATCCAGAACTGGGAGTTCCTCTTTTGGTGTATTTGGGGTCCCAGTGACCATCCAATGCATAACTTTTATTTATTTTTTTTAAAGATAATCCATTGTAAATGAGCATCTGCCTGGCTTGCTAAGTATAAAGCTATAATGTGACAGAAACAGCAATAATAGCAGCGTAACAAAGACCCAGGCTACAACAAACAAGGACAAACCCAAAAGCAGCAGCTACAGACACAGTGAAGAAAAAAGTAAGAAAAATTACTTACCTTTAGAAGACCAAAAGTATGCAGAGACCTCCAAAGAGACACTCTCACCTCCACTGCCAAGCA